TGGACTTTTTTTTTTTTTTTACAGAAAATTTGTGCTTAGGTATATATGCCAAAACATGTGTGTTCATCCCAGGGGGCTCTGGGAGTCTCTCCTGTCCACCCCTGAAGCTTCAAGGGGCTGTGGGCTGTGGGATTCCTGGGCTTCCGGTGGAGGCAGCTGCATTCTTTCACTTTGCTTTTCCTTTGTCTCAATAAGTTACGTTTCTCAGTTGTGAAAATAAAGGATCTGTGGCCTAGTAAGGAAGCATTTTATACCACAACAGTCACATTTTACTGGGGAAAAAAATCCTTTTAAATATTAGAGAAAATTACCATAGCGCATTTGGCTCTGGTTGACACAGAACCTCGGCTCCTGTTGAAGACGAAGCTAAAAGTTTTTTGAAAACGGTAACATGGTTTTTCTGCTTTGGCACACCATTTGTTTAGGATGTCACTCAGAACTTTTTTCAGTGTAGCTGGCTTTTCCACTGTTTCCCATTTTGAGAACTGAAGGTAGGACTTGTCTGTCAATTGAAGAACATACCCCAGAATTTTCCAAACTTGGAAGGGCAGCAATATTGTTTCCAGGACACCCTCCGGAGGAGTCTTACTTCAGATGTTTCTTCCCTGATGTTCACTTGCCATGCTGAGGGAGGGCTGAGTCTTTGAGGTGGCTACCAGGATCTTTTAAGAATCTCTCTGATGTTATTCACTGATCCTTCTAGGCTGGGTGACTCCCCCAAACATCATTACATTCTTGTAGTTCTGTTGCATGTACACTAGTCATTTAGGGAGAATCTTTTGAGCTACAAAGTGTGGAACTGACATATTTATTGAGGGTATTGAAATCATCCTGTATTTAAAAATATTTAAGAATATGGAAAGTCTGAATTAATTATTCCAATTCTTCATGTTCCATATATGCTCTCACCTTTTGTGAAAATTATTTCCCTTTTGGATCTGGAAAATTCAATGTGGGAGTAGGTCATGGACTATAAACACATAGGCTGTTTCTTTACACTGAAGAAATAATTTAAATTTAAATAATTACTATTGATAGAAAGAAATGAAAGAAAAGACTCATTTTCACCCTAAATATCAGCCCAATTAAAGAAAAACTATTTCGTGCTGACAGCCTCGGCACTAGAGATATACTAGCCTGGTAAGTCTTAGGAGAAGGAGACTGGCCTGGATATCTCAGACTCTTTAGCAGTATGCTTGGCCTCAAACCGGTAAATGCCACTAGCCCTGTCCTTCTAAGTTGTGACAACCAAGACTTCCTCTAACATTGTCAAATGTTTCTTAGGAAGCACTAGAAAACCTACTTTGGGCCCAAACTATCCAGCAATAGTTTTCTCTGCAAGTCAAGTAAAGTTGAGGATGAAAGTTCTTTTAGCTGTTCAGGTGAATGCTAAATTGAAAAGTAGTTTGTCTGGTTTTGTTTTTTTTTTTTTTAAGATTTATTTATTTATTTATACAAGCACTGGGTACAGTCAGAAGCGCGGGAGAGTGAGAGAATTTACCAGAGCCAGAGCAGGGAGCAGAACAGGCAGAAGGACAGAAGTACACTGCTGAGGGGAGCAGCGGGCAGCACGAGAGGTCTGTGAACCATGTGGGACCCTCGGGGGCCAGGGATCGAACTGGTGCTGCAGAGGCTGCGGGCAGCTTCGCAACCCAGCACTGAACCGCTGTGCCACCGGGGAGGCCCAGTAGTTTGTTTTGATGCTCCACTGACCATATCTAGCCGTTCAGGTCATCCTGTTCTATACTTCTTTCTAGATCCCATTTAATTACCCCAAACGAGGACCTCCCTACTCTGTTCCCATAGCCCTGGTAGGCCTGTTCATTTGCTGTTCAATAATCTCATAGACTATCTAGATTTTTAGTGATCTGTCTCACTTTCTATTTCCTATGTGGTCTGGGTAATTTCTCACTCCTTTGGGAGGCTACAGTTTCTGTTCTTCCCTGCTATGTTATTATCTCTTCTAATTTAAGACCTAGGCAGAGCCCACATAGCAACTCAGAGAAGTTGAAGTCTCTACTTGATTTGATCAGTATGTGGACACATAGTTCAGCAAGCAAAACTGTTCGCTCTGAAATTACAAATAGGATTGTTAAAAGGCATCCTGTAATCACAAATTGTTCCTTACATATGTGCAGTGACTGCAAGACAGCAAAGTTTGTTTTGGGAAAGGTTTTACTGGCTGTTTGAAGCAGGGAGTGGCTCTAGTACACAAAATATTTAAACCAAATTGTTATGTCTTATAATGTTCAACAAAGCACCCTGCAAACATCAGTTCTGGAAAAAGAAAACGGCATCCTCCAAGGCAAGGTTATAGGTACTTCTGGGAGTTGTAAACCCATGCAGGCTCCAGAAATATGTGCCTGCCAAGGCCTGGAAATTTCTGAATTAACAACAAATAATCAGTGAGTGTGACAAAGAGTTAAAGTACACAGACTTTACTTTCACAAAGTTTATGATGTAGTAAAGAGGTTTAAGATGTAGACCTGAGATTCCAAACTGATGGCCACCAGGCTAAATTGGGATCACGGATTTGTTTTGCTTGGCTTATATAGGGTTGGCCTCCTGAATGTCTAAGAAAGTGAGAAAAAGAGAGAAGGAAAGAATTAAAGAAAAATCACTAAACTATGTAGTTGAGATTTTTGCATTAAAATCCAGAATTTAATGCAAAATCTATTTTTGAAAAATTAGAAGATCTGCCATAATTGGCCCTTATTCCCACATTTCCCCTGGTCTGGTGACAGTTGACTGGAGTGGAACAGCAGCTGCCCTCTTTGGTCAGAGCAGGCTCTCTAGTTCTTCACCACTGCCTATTTAAGAGGACCACCCCTAATTCAGAGACTTCTGCAACATTTACTTAGTTTCTTCTTTGTGGAAGGAAACCTCTGGAGCCTGGAGCAAAATAGCAGCTACCCATTTGTGTGTTAGATGTGATGACCCCAGGTCAGGCCAAGGAAATAGCAATGGCAGTGATAAGAAACAGTCAGAGGGCCTCCCCGGTGGCGCAGTGGTAGAGCGCTGGGTTGCGAAGCTGCCGGCGGCCTCTGTGGTGCCGGTTCAATCCCCGGCCGCTCCCCGGCCACCGGAGGAGGGTCCCACATGGCGCGCAGACCTCTCCTGCCGGGTTCAATCCCCGGCCGCTCCCCGGCCACCGGAGGAGGGTCCCACATGGCGCGCAGACCTCTCCTGCCGCCCGCTGCTCCCCTCAGCAGTGTACTTCGGTCCTTCTGCCTGCTCTGCCCCTCGCTCTGGCTCTGGTGAATTCTCTCACCCTCCCGCGCTTCTGACCGTACCCAGTGCATGTATAAACAAAACAAACAAGCAAACAAATAAATAAAGAAAAACATGCCTCTATTAAAAAAAAAAAAAATCTAAAAAAAAAAAAAAAAGAAACAGTCAGATTTGGGGTCTGTTTTGAAGGTAGAGTTGGTAGGATTTCCGGATCAATTGGCTTAGGGTATTGGAGAAAATTTGAAAATCACTCTAATTTTGATTTTTATTTAATTGACTTTAAAAGGATACCTATTGTGAAGCAGTGGAACCCCAGTATTGAAATGTCAACGTAAACTGGAACTGTAAACTGAGAACTGGAGTTGGTAAGTAAACTGGGAACTGGAGTAGGTCTCTCTCATATATTGGGAACTGGAGTTGGTCTCTCTATTCACACACAGACTTGTCTCCCGGACTTGGCAAGCGGGATGAGGTGGGGGTGTGTGTGTGTGTGGGGTGGGGGGAGGGTCCGGAGAGGGGGGGGCTCTGAAGTCCTGAGCTCACTACATGCCCCTGGGCCTGCAAGAAAGGTGGGGGGACAGGGGAGACTCCAAGTGAAGAGGGTTGTGGGCTGCATCTAGCAAGAAGCTGTAACAAGTTCCTAAGTGTGTTCTGAAGCTCTTCCATAGAGCACTCTCTTCCCTGAGATTTATATTACAAGTCACTAAAAGTAGCAAAGTTGTATCCGAAGATGTCTTTATTTACACTTTCTGTACGACTCAGAAAATCTCCAACTGTCCATGTCGAGGGCAAATTATTATATTATAACGTGGATTTACTCGACTAGTGGAGGCTACTGTGGTGGTGGGGGCGGGCAGACTCCCAAGGGAGTCTGCCCGCCCCCACCACCACAGTAGCCAGAGACGCGAGAAGCCGCCGGCTGAGGGGAAGCCGGGTTTGGCGGCGCGGAGCCAAGCGCGGCCGCTTCCTTCAGCCGCCGGGGCGGCGGCCTTTCCCTGCGTCCCGCAGCGGTCAGCCGGCCTCTGTGCGCATGCGCCGCCGCAGCAGGCGTCCTCCCTGGCTCCTTCCCTCCCTCATCCGGGTCCTGGGCGAGCGGGCGCCGTGCGCGTGTCCCGCGGCCGAGCTGCTAATAAAGTTACACCGAGGGGACGCGCGGCGCCGGCGCCGGGAGAGCGCGCCCAGCCGGCGGGTGAGTGCGTGTGGGGCCCCCGGGTGGGCCGGGCGAGCGGGGCCCGGGGCTGCGGGCCGCCCGGACGCGGCTCCCCTCGGGCCCTAGCGGCCGGACGCGGGGCGAGGCGGGGGCGTTCGGCCGCGAGCGGGGCGGAAACCGCCCGGGCCTGCGGGGCGGGAGGTAGGCCGAGGCCGGGCCTGGCGGGGTCCGGGCGGGCGGGCGGGGACGGTGCAGCCCGTCCGGCCGCGGAGGCCGAGCCTGCGGCCGGGGGCGTCCTGAGGCGGGGCGGAGGCTGGCGCTGGTCCCGGCGCCGCCTCAGCGCCCGGGCTGTGCAGGGAGTTGCTCGGGGCGCCGGCAGGGGATCCCCGGCCCCGCTTTCTGTCCCGAGGAGCGGTTTGCTGCACCCCGTCTAAGAACCGCCCTCGGTGTACACCCCCCGGGTCGCTTTGTAGTGCTCGGCCGGGCGCCGAGGCTGCTGCTCTGCGACGCTGTCCAATGGCCTGAGGAATCCGTGCCGCCTTGGCTTTGTGTCTCGAAGATGAGGATCCACGCTTGCCGGGGGGAGTTGCATCGGGCGGGTGTGACCTGTTGCTGCGCTCAGCTGGTAGTTAGAGCTGGTTTCCAGCTCTGGCGCTGCCAGTTTGCACCATTGCAGAGATTCTTTTACTTCAGCTAACTTCTGCATTGCTGCAGAGAGAGTGCCAAGCAGTGGCTGTTCGCCTGCTCCGTATATTCATCCCCTTCCCGAGTTTCTCACTTCGTTATCTCTACTCAGATTCATGTCCCGGCCTCTCCTCTGCCCCCTCCCGTTCCCCTCTCTCCCTTTCTTCAGCTGCTGTTACTACGTGGAGTTTGGAGCCTAAGCTTTGAAAACTCCCATGTGGCGCCTGTCTTAAGTCGGAGCATGCTCAGTAGCCAAAACAGATTTTGGTTGCAAAAAACCCGGGCGAGGAGAGTCGGGTATTTGGACGTCTGCCCACTTCTAACAAAATTCTGGTTTGGATGGCATTGGAGAATGGAGCTATAGGCCAACCTGGAGGTGAAGAATGCCTGAACACCCTGGGCCAGATCTCTATCTTGATTATAGTGACATTGTTTCCTGACCAGCTGGAGGTCTGGGGGGGTGTGTGTGGGGGAACATTCTTGGCTGCTTGGGCATTTAAATGGGTGTGGTGCTAAGTATATCTTGTTTACCTTATCTTTCTGTGGAAAAAGTTTTGAAGTCTGGTTGGGTTTGTCACATCATGCCTGTTGCCTAGCACTACCAAAGTGTTCTTATCTAGCAACAAAGACTGGTTAGGTGGAGAGTGTGGCTTGGCCTCACTGAAGTTGAGAAGAAAGGGTACTGGAGTTGTTGTGTTTTAAATTCTTTTCAGGAGTACCTGAATTTTCTTAGAGTACCTGAATTGCCCTGAGTGAATTAGTTTTTAATTTAAATTTCAAAGTCTGAAAGGTGGAAAACCATAGTCCCAGTAGATTTAGTAACATTCCAAGTAGTTTAAAGTTTCTGCTAGATACCAATTCCTTAGTGTCTGTTGTGGGGAAAACAGTACCTAGATGGGGTGTGACCGTGGCACATATATGAGGCTTGTATGTTCCAAATTCAGTAAGGAATTACAGATCTCAACAAATCATTGTCTTTCCTAGTACTTTTTTCCTCTTAGAAAAAAATCCCAGAGGTTCCAAGATTATAAAACAACTCATAAGAAACCATTTAACAGGAGGTAAACTTCATAAAGATTGGAAATGTTATGTTTAGATTTTTAACATAATTTTTGTTTTCTATTGTTCTCATCATTTTCTTAAAAGCATCCAACATCCCTTCCCTCTCTTCATTGCTGCTCCCTTTATCAGTGTGTCTTGCCTTTTCACGCTGTTATCTTTGTTGCAAAAATCCAGTGGTCACTTACTTGTCATTCCTTTCAGATCATAGTTTAAATAGTAAAAATTAGGTGAGTCTTCTCACTTGGTCTTCCTGAGATCAATGAACTGGGAAATTTGTTTTTTTTTTTTTTGGTAGATTCTGAGAGACTTGTGGTATTATCTACCTGTCTAGTTCCCAGTGATGGCGCCACAGAAATGGGTAGATTGATAATGTGTTGCATTTCTTTCCCCTCTGGCAAAGTCAGCTATTAAGTTCAGTGGGAGACAGTGGCAGAATGTTGTTACTAATGAGGTTTGAATCAGATTGTTGTTTACTGTTGGTTATGTAACGTGTTGCTGAGAGTATTATTAAAGTTGCCTTCTGTAGCAAGGTAGAGGCAAATAAATTCTGCTTACTCTTTTCACTAGGTTTTCATTCTTGGCTGAACCTGAAGGCACATTGGACTATAACCATAATTATACCTGGGCAGCCTGTCTGTTTCCTGTTTTCATCATGAACCCAAACATTACGATTTGCAGTGATGTTCTTTTTTGTCCTTTGCGTTCAACAGAGGCAGTGTGTTTTTTCTTTCTGCTGAAAACAGATTTGCCACTTGGTCAAATCAAAGATTCAGGCTTCTTAGTGTTTTGAGGCTAGGCAGTAAAACATTAACAGTTTTTCTTTTCTTAGTAATGTCAGTTGAAATACTATCTGAAACACTGTTTTCACACCTATTGTTTGATTGTGTTTTATGTAAATTTTAATGTTGCCAGTAGTTTGTAGAGTCTTTGAAATAAGAAAAGCCCTTTTTGTTTATGACTTATCACTGTTTATTATTACCAGATGTATATGTTGGTTTAGGCAGGGAGCCACACATTTGGGTGAATTTCAGAGCTGACTTTAGTACACATTAGGATCTAGCTGACTTTATGCCCCTGGTTTATCAGTCTTCCCTGTTCTCTTTTTCTAGGGGATATATGTTCCTCGTCTCGATCTTATTTGTGTTTCCCATTAAGCACACACTCACACAAACACCAAAATAGTTGATTTCTTTAAATGTTACAGGTACCTTCTATCCTTTGGGTTTGCCAGTCTACATGTAAGGTCAAAGGCATTGAGGATTTCCTTTTATAAGGAATAGTAGCAGCCTGACGGTTATTCTTGTCTCCACCAGTGTGGATATTATAGAAAAGAGTATGTTGGGAGGGCAGGACTCCCAAAAAACTGCACAGAGATAGGGTGCTCTCACACGAAAGAAGATGGTGAGTGATCCCACTGTCTGTGCCGCTGTATGTCTTGTGTTTCCACTTCCAAAGTTAACAGAATACTAGTAATTGAAATGTTCAGTGCCGGGTCATCCCGTCCATTTTCTACAATTCTGAATCTGAGAGGTATATTTACTAAATAGAAGGCTAAGTTATGAAACTTTTTCCCAGGAATTTTTAGAAGCTAAATTATTAGGACAAGCTCCTTTCCCAATATCATCGGTCACCTTCATATTCTAACAGTTCTGTTGTTTTACGACTTTGAAAAGATGGCGTAATTGCAGACTTGTTAGATTTTTTGTAAATAATAATGAGTTCTGGACTCTTTAGTTTTGATTTTTTTGGTCCCCAGCATGTAGGTGGAAAGATTTTTAGTCCCATTTTAACAGAGGTGGTTACAGTAACTCCCCGCCCCCGCCCCCCGGCTTTTACTGTCTCCTAACTTGATTATGATAATATTTTAGAAGAATTCTTAATTAGATAGTTCTGTGTGTGCAGTACTATCAATATAATTGTAATTCACTTTTGGAAGCTAGTTGTAAAGAGGTTTTGTTGTTGCAATCTTTGCTACACTGGTCTCTGCCTGTAACGAATATTATACATATATATCTGCATACTTACATATATATATAAAACGTATATATAGACATAGTTTGGTCTGTTGTGAGTTTTTAGCTAGAGTTTTCCTTTTGATTTCCATATACGTGTTTTGTAATTGCTGAACATAATAGGAAGAAATAGCTACTGTCCCCTTACCACCTTTTTCAGAGCGTGGTAACTGGAGTCCTGGGAGGAGTCTTACACTTTTCAGATTTAACTATGATCTCAGAATATACCTGGTGCTTTCAAGGCATGTTTTGTTTTGTTCAGTTTTGTTTTCATGATGTGTTAGGATCTGCCTAGCATCCTATCTGGTGCGCTGTATAAATTGAGAGCTAGTTATTCTGGTTTGTGTGTTCCCAGGACGAGGGGGTACTGTGGAAATATTTCAAAGCCTTGTCTTTTGTTTTCTTACCCTTTACTCATGTCTTTTCTGCCCACGTAATTGAGTGACTACTTAACACACTGGCCATTTCTACTTTTTGTCTTTGGAAGTGTAAATTAAATGACAGCTCACTACAGCTGAAAAGGTACGTGGAGTGATGTTTCCTCCTTTTTCTTCTAAGCGGGTGATTGGACTCTGGGGTGCACAAGCAGGATCTGAAGAACATCTTCAATAAAGCACTGGCATGTATGTTGTGTACACCAGATAACACTTTATAAGGTAGTCATTTGGAATCTGCCCCTGTCGATTTTATAATTTAAAGAAAAGCACTATAAAGAGAGACTGGTTCTGTGTCTATTCCTGACCTGCAAGCCTATACAGGTATACTCATACACATCTGGTAGTAATGTGGGGGCTCTCGCAGGCTCTATGGGAGTGAGTGATGCATCTAGATCAGGCTTTGCTTAATTAGAGGACTTAGAGGAACAGGTGAAGTTTAAAGAGTGATTAAAAACTGGGAAACATAAGTCTGGATGTGGGAGATAAAAAAAAGTAGAGGCTTGTGTGGGCACTAAGATAGCTCGGCAGGAAGAGTGTGTTGTGAGAATGTCTAGAATCATGAATTCAGCTCCTGAAGAAATCCTCCAGGGAAATGATTTTGTTGTTCATGTGATTGTATCCCCTCTTCCTAGATGTTCCCATGAAGAATAGGATTTCTAAAGCTAGGAGAACGGTGGACAGATTTGCTTTTGGTTTTGTTCTCTTCTGCTGTCATGGATGTGGCTTACATGTTCTGTAGTAATTGAATACCTGGATCTAGAATTGGCTTGACAGTGGTTGTCTCTGTCTATCTTGGTGATACTTTATGATACTATTAATATTAGAACTACAAGAGTAAGATATTTTAAAACTTAACCCTTACCAACAAAAAAGTTACCCTTGGAATGGCAAAAACACCCAAAGGTTTCCTGTACTCATAAAATACAAACAATGATGTAAACCAGAATTACCTCAATTTAAAAAGTTACCCTTGGATGTAATTATAGACAATTGACTTTCTTCATTTTGGGTCCTTGGTTCTCAAACCTACTACATAACCTGACACTCTTGTTAAAATTGTGGGTGGTAGGACTTTACTCTCAAACCTAATGAATCAGAATTTTGTGGGATGGTTATAAGGACTCTCTCTCTCTAAAACCCTCATCTGTAATTCTTTTACTCATGTTTGGTTTAAGTGATGGTGGATTTTGACCCATATGGCCATTTGTTTGCAGGCATTGCTGTCCTCAGAAGATTTTGTTTTGGTTAACAGTGTTGGGTACAATTTTGGGATTGGTTTGCTTGACTTTTATTTTGGATTGAAGCAGTTAAACAGATACTGGAGCAGAAAGTAAAAGTTATTTCTGTAACTTTACCTCTGAAGTCTGGGCATGAACAGTGTCTTTCTGGGGAAGAATAATTCTTTAATAAATCAGAAAATGTTACATCTCCATTCAGGACTCTTAAATGGGTCCACATTTCACTTACAGGAAAGGCCAAAGTCCTTATTTCCATCACAGATAATCTGGCTTGCTTTCTTATTTGACCCCATTCCTTATTTTCCTTTCCTTGTTCACCTTATTCTCAGACTACAGTCATCTTGGAGCTCCTGGAGTGTGCTAGGCATGCTCCCATCTCAGAATCTTTGCATTGTCTGTTACCTTTTCTTTTAATGGTTTGGCACCTTCACCCAATTTCAAATTATACTTCTCTGAAGGCACTCCTCATCCACCTTCCCCTGCATTATTTTTCTCCATAACACCTTTTAGGTGACAAGCTATATTATTTCTGTACTTTTGTTGGTCTGCCTCTTCTTGAATGTAAGTTACACGTGGGCAGAGGTTTAGGTCCCTTTTATTCACTTTCTGTTTTCTCAGCTATCTTGA